AATTTAAATTTGAATTACTAAGTATAACGAACTTAAAGGAAACGATGGAAAATATGAACAATAAAAAGGACCACAATTTTCTCACGGTAAAAATGTTACTGGAAAATTTCGATATAATCGGACCACACTTACACCGAGTAATAATAGAATCTTTCCAAACAGGGAAGAATACAAAAAACCCAAATGAAATAAGACCAGTAAATATGCTATCAACAATAAGCAAAATAATGGTAAAAATAGTACAAAATCAACTAAATAAATACTTTGAAAAATATAATTTATTTTGTGAAGCACAATGTGGATTCAGAAAGAACCATAGTTGTGAATCCCTTTTAAACCTGGTGGTATCACAGTGGAAAATGGAAATAGCGCGGAAAAATTGTGTCATTGCAGTTTTCATAGACCTAAAGAGTACTTTCGAGACCGTTAACAGAGATATTTTAATGCAAAAACTAGAAAAGTACGGTATAAAAGACATTGAGTTAATTGGTTTCAGAGCTACTTGAGCAACAGGACTCAAAAAAACGAAAAGCGGAAACTGTATATCAACACCAATAAATATTAGCGTAGGAGTGCCACAAGGGGCAGTTTTGGGAACACTACTATTTTTAATCGACATAAACGATATGCAAAAAATTTTAAATAAGTCGAAAGTGTGTATGTTTGCTGATGACGTGCTGGTATATATTTGCGGAAAGGATGCGGATGAATGTGTACAAAACTTAAACGAAGAAATAAAAAATATTGAGAAATATCTAAAAATTAATAAACTTAAAATCAACACTAGTAAAACAAAAACTATGATCTTAAACGGAAATACTACGGAAAATATTTATATCGAAGGACATCCGTTAGAAATCGTTAAAGAAATTAAATATTTGGGTATTCTTATAGACAATAAATTAAAATTTGATTTGCACTTCGAATATATTTGCAAAAAAAATCGCTAAGAAAATTGGATTTTTAAGAAGAATCCGTTATAAATTATCAACTAAAATAGCCATAAATATTTACAACACAACAATCAAACCTCATTTTGAATACTGTTCAACGTTATTATTTCTGGGAAGAAAACTATGAGGCAAGACTTCAAAAACTTCAAAATAAAGGAATGCGTTGTATTCTTCGGTGCCATCAACTGACACATATTAGAGAAATGCTAACAAGATTGCAGTGGCTTTCTGTAAATCAGCGACTCGTGATGAATGCTTTAATTTTTATTTTCAAAATTAATAATGGATTAATGCCAGATTACATTCGAAATTATTTAGTTTACGTATCTGATGTTCAACCCTATTATTTGCGTAACGAAAATGATTTCAGATTAAATTTTAGTTCAACAAATTTTTGTCAAAATTTATTATTTCACAACGGTCTTAAATTATTCAATGAAATGCCAGAAAATTTAAAATGTGAAAACGTTTTTTTTATATTTAAACGTAACATTATTTCATATGTCAAACAAAAGTTTTAATGTATTAAAATCCTTTATAATAATGTTATAAAATTGTACAAATAATGGCATGTATGCTAAATAACTATACCAAAAAAAAAAACTGGTGAATATGTTTCTTGATAATCTTGACCGAATTTTCGGCCAGAACCTTTCGCGACGAAACGAGCTTTATAACGCAATACATTTCCGTTGTTATCGCGCTTAGTTTTGAATACCCATTTGCACCTAATGGCTTTTCGACCCTTGGGTAAATCAACTAGTGTCCAAGTGTTGTTCTCCCTGTGAGAACGAATTTCTTCTACCATGGCTTGTTGCCAGTTTTTACTGTCTTTACTATTCAATGCTTCAATTGATGTACCCGGGTCAGAGACAATATTATTGCATGATATGTATGAGACGAACTCACCAAAATCTTTGGGGTTTGGGCTTTCTTGTTTCTTGCCCTGGAACCTCGTTAGTGGGAATATAAAGTGGATCGCAATCTTCGTATTCGCTGTCAGTACAAGCTATTACGTTTTCAATGTCTACTACTTCTGACAAGCTGCTACAATGTTCATCGACTGGAAGCTGTTCAAGTGATTCAGCCCTCACTTTGATCCACACTTTCTACACCCCTAACTTTATTAGAATCAATTACACGTTTTGGTGATGTCAACTTCCATATTTGCTATTGGAACAATCTCGTGGAAAATTATATCGCGACTGATAGTGAGTTTTTTGGTGTTCGGTTCGATGCAACGGTAACCTTTTTTATTATCGTCAAAACCAACAAATGTCATTTTGACTGATTTCGCATTCCACCTTGTTCGCCGTTGTTTAGGAATATGTACCATCACTGGGGATACAAAAATCCGTAAATGCGAGATGTCGACTCTTTTTCCAGACCATATTTCTTCTAGTCATATATGTAATACTTCTATATTGGCAGTAAGCTAACTTCTCAATGTGTAAGCATTCCGAAATCAAAGCGAGACAGTCTAGTACCGTTTTTGTCAATGTATTGTGTACTTGAGTGCCGTTTTTGTATATGTGTTGTGTACATGTTTATTTATAAATGTATGTGTTCCTTTTCTTTCGTACGTGAACATTGATATATCTGTACTGTAGTGTTTTCGGACGGTACTAGCTCTTACTGCCAATATAGGAGTATTACATATATGCTTCTAGTATTTGGTTTTCTAATGATGAGCAAATCGATATATTAACAATGTAAGCTGCCAATGATGTAATCCGAATGGAATATCTCGAGGAGCTCTTTTGTGCTATGCTGAAAAGGTTTTCTTGATTGTTTGCCTTGTGCACACACTGTGCAATCTGCATCAATTGTTTTGTCATCAAATTTTAAGCCATCAACAGCTTGCTTCATTTGCTTCAGACTCTTGAAGTTTATATGACCTAGTCTGCGATGCCAAGTTATTGCAGAAGTTTCTAAATTTCTACACATGTTAGATGAACCTGATGTAAATTTATACACGCCATCTTTAGGTTTGCAACTTGCATAAGGAGTTCCTTGAGAGTCGTATACAGTGCAAGCCCTGCTGTCAAATACGATTTTTTTCCCGCTTCTACCATTCTATAGACCGATAATAAATTTGCTGATAAGTCTGGTATATGCAGTACATTGTTAACGTCAACTACATACTCCCTATTCTAGCGCCCTCATAAAAATCACCATACTCACTATTGTGAGTTTTCTCACTATTGTGAGGTTCACCCAATGCTGGCGAAAATACAAAACATAAAAAGATCACAATTATCAGAAAATTTGTGATGACGACATATGAACCTCACAAAGCAAAAACAGCTGTTTTTTGAGCATTTTTTTTATTAAATTCTTGCGTTTGTTTCATGTAATGTGAAAATAATGGAGGAGCTATTGTGTTAGCGGCAGTTATGGAGGGACAAGAGGAAGCGATAAAGAGAAGGAGGCTTCTGAAAAGCATGCGCGACAAAAGTGATCCGTTTTCCATGGAGGATGTTATATTTTTGCAAATGTTCCGGTTTCCAAAATCCCTGTGTCGAGCGTTGATAGAAGAATTGGAACCGAATGATGTTCAGAAGTCCAATATGCCCTTTACTCTTCGCTTCCTTGCTTGCTTGTATTTTTACTCGCATAGGTCTTATCAAAAATGTGTTGGGAATAGCTATTCCATTTCAATGAGCCAGGCATCTGTTTCCCGCGCTCTGCTCTTCATATCGAAGATAATCGTGGATGTTAAAGCGGGTGAAGTGCGTTTTCCATCAACTCTACAAGAGGTTGCAGAAGTGAAAAGAGGGTAGGATTCAAGTCCCAAAACTATTTCGTAATAAATGTTCATGTTTAAAAATATTTATAGGTTCTATACAAAGTTTGGAATAAAGGGTACAATCGGAGCAGTCGATGGCACACACATTGGGATTATATCACCAACGACCACAGACGCCAGAACTCCCATTTCTCTCTTTATGAATAGGAAGAGGCTTTATAGCACAAATGTTGAGGCATTAAGTAAAAGTTGGTTTTTATAAAATGATCGTTAAATGTTACAGGTCAAAACGATTTTTTTAACAATATCAAAGGTGTGTGACCATCGACTCGTGTTTACTGGAGTCAATGCGAGATATCCAGGCTCTTGTCACGATTGTGGCATCTGGACCACATCCCCAACACGAATGCATTTGATGAGAAATCACAGCACACAAAGTGATTCGTGGCTGTTAGGAGATCAGGGGTATCCGTTGGAGCCCCTGGCTCCTGGCTTTTAACACCTGAGGCAGAGCCCTCAAACTGTAGGGAAATTAAGTACAACAAGATGCACGCTAAAGCACGCAATACCATCGAAAGAGCTTTCGGTGCCTGTTCAAAGAGCAGCGACTATTATATACGCTTGTACGATTCTCCACAATATTCTTTTGAAGAATGGCGTGGCTGCCGACCTTGGATTCGAAGTAGTTGAAGAACTGGAAGATTGCGAAGTTGTGATCGAAGGTGTAGAAAATTCAAATGCAAGGGAGGGTGCAAGAGTAAGGGAACGGTACATAATGTTTTTAAGAACCACAACTCTTTAAATATACAGTGGTCGAAAAAATGATAGTCGCACCACACATTGACAAGTTTTTATATAAAAAATAAAGTTCCTTCTTTAGCAAAACCGTTGTAAATCCAAGTTTCAAACTCTGTCCAATATTCCAAACACATGTGAACAACCTTTCGTTGATTCGATTTCTTAGAAAAAATGTGTGTATGAAGTTTGAAACTTGGTTACAATGGTTTTTTATAAAAAAATTACTGATATTAAACAACAAAAAATTTTTTTGCAAATAATTTATTCGATCACTGTATATAAATTGGATAACTTTAGAAATTTGATTCTATTTTGAATAAAATTTAATTTTTTGCTTGACCCTATGTATTTAAAAGAAACAATAGCAGACGACATTTGACCATTTTTTGACTATTTTTCTTTTGTTTGTTTAATATTCATTAAAACCGTTAAAAACCACATAAATCAAAAACTTAGAAAATGCTATTTGGATTTTTACGATATTTCATTTTTTTTTTCATTTCATATTTTTATTAGTGTTACCAATGTATTCAAATACGTACATACATAGACATGAATAAAAATATCTTTCGTATAATGACAATCTATCGAAATACGATATCACTATTTTTAAGGCTTGGTTAATGAGGAACAAAAGAATTTTATTTCACAGGTACATGAATATATACAGGCATTTATATTTGGCATTTTCTTCCATATATTAATACATGCTCGAATTCGTTTTTATGTTAAAAATAAATACATAGTAAAACTTAGCTATTTCGAGCTTGCCCTTTATTAGCCAAAAATTCAACGAGGTATAAAAATGCCGTCTCGAAAATTTTCTAAATATTAAAAAATGGCAAAAGGTTATTAACAGCCTTATTATATATCACGAGCGATGGACAACACAAACGATTCGTCTGCAGAAGAATGCTTCAAAAATTAGTCCGGTGGCGTTATTCTAGTCGGTTTAAATGTAAGTTAGAAACAATGGAATTATAGAAAACATCACTGTTCGTTTTGTTTTGTACAACACTTAAAACTATTGACAGTCTATCATTTACAAACAGTCTCACTCAAATATACATACACTGGTATCCCGATAACTAAAACCGTTTTGTCTTTACAAGTATTGATAATCCATTTTTATTTATTAGATTTAATTTATTTTGTTAGGTAAACCTAATGCATGTCACAACGAAAATCAAGTAACTCAACTTTGTACAAGATTTATATTAATTCGTCAAAGCTCAAAAAATTGTCATCAAAATTTCTAAGTTTTATTTAATCGGAATTTCT